CCTTCTACAGAAATAAGATTCTGTCAAAATAGATTTTGATTTGGGCATTTAGAAAGCTGAATAGCACTTGTCTTGCTGATGTCAAGACCATGGCATTTGCCAGGTCCTGAGGTTAGACATATTCTTTCTCTCATTTAACTGAGAAATAATTGAGAAAGGCACTGTGTACAAACACATCAGTGTACAAACACAGACACTGTCCCTCTCAATCTTCTACCCAGTGAGAAGGAAATCACCCAACCTGTGAGAGGCAGCCTGATGTAGAACCACTCATTTCATTTTGCAAGTGTGTGAGAAGCTTCCATTGCTGTGATGCAGTGTGTTAGGTGTTGGAGACATGGATGTAACCAAACACAGATGGAAGAGGGAAAGGGAAAAGAAGCCATAAATGTAAAGAAAATTACAGGTTATGGCAGGTGCTGTGAAGGAAGAATGGAGGGCTTGATGATGGTAACATACAGGATGCCCTTTGCAAGTCACCCATAACAAAACATGGAAAACAGAAACAGACCCATTCCATTAAGGGGAAAACATGTCTGTCGATTGGTTTAAAATGGATCATGAATGAGTTCTGCCAGGATTAGTCCATTGGCTTAGAAATATAGAGAGAAACTGTGATGAAAACCAAGGATGCAGCCCTGCTCAGCTCAGCCCACCTTGCACCCTGTGGCATCTGCAAGAAAAAGTGTCCTGTACTTCCCAAATTTACAGTTTTGCTAAAATCTTGTGAAATAATCATCATATGCCTTACCAGGGTCTTAAAAAATATTTTTCTGAGCTGATTCTGTTAAGGCCCTTTATAATTTATTGTGCATCCCCGAGTTTCTGGACTCGTGCCTTGGCCCAGGCCCTTGGTAATGAAATGCGGAGGAACAGTGTGTCCTGCAGTCTCCATGGCTCCTTGCAGAGAGGAAGTGTGAGTGTTCTGCACCCAGAAAAACAAAGCTCAGCTGTCTGAGCACCAGCAGGCCCTGCTTTTTCATGTACATACCTAACCTGGCTTTGAGATAATAACTACCTGCCCATCGTAAATAGTAAGGTTGAGACACTTCACGCATTTTTTTTTCTCGTTTCTAAAGAGACACTTGCTTGTCATAAGAAAATTTTAAAATACAGATGAATAAAATGAAAATGGACAGCATTAATAATACCCATGTATTTATGAAATAGCGTAATCTCTGTGCTTATAAAACTGTGATGTAGTGCCCACTCAAGCAGCGTGTCTGTGATTTCCTCTCCCCGAGTCCTAACTGAACATCCTGGTGCTCACATGTTATCATGTGCTCTTCCTTTTCTGTGTGTGTCCCATCTGTGTAGGTACATGCACCTGCACATAATACCCCTGCTTTAAACATGTCTCACACCTGTGTTCATCATAACAGTATAGCGTTAATAAATGGCCACATTGACACGCGTGAATCTATATATTACTCTTAATAATGGGGTCTTACTCCACAATGTGGGCACACTTTAACTCATTGAGCCTGATCGCTTATTAATAGTTGGTTTTCATCCTTTTTACAGTTGCAAAACAAACTATTTCATACTCTCAAGAGCATCTCAAAAAATCCACGAAAAGTAAAATTAAAAGATAAGTTTAGTTTGCTGCTCTCTGGGGAGTCAGCCAACAGATAGAAGCTCTTTCTCCTCCCTTCCCTTTCTCTCTGCCCCTCTGCATCTTTAAAGTTTTTCCAAATGCCATATTTTGAGTCTCCTTAATATTAGTTTTCCATGAACTTTATGGATATTTCTTTCATATAGGCATAGACTTCAAAAATATTTTGCACCTAAATCAACTTACCTTTTTCTTTCATTTTCCATATAAAGTTTCTATGTTGATCACTGCATACTGATTCTTTATATTGCCATTTTTAAAAAGATTTATTTATTTATTTTCTTATTTATTTATTTGAAAGAGTGAGAGACACAGAAGGATCTTCTATCTACTATTCACTCCTTAAATGGCCACAATAACTAGGTCTGGTCAAGGTCAAAGGGAGGAGCCAGGAATTCCATCCAGGTCTTCCACATGGGTGGCAAGGACTCAAATACTTGGACCATCACTTGCTGCTGTCCCAGCTGTATTAGCAGGGAGCCAGATTGGAAGTGGAGCATCCAGGACTTCAACCAGCTTTCTGATATGGGATACCAGTGTCACAATTAGTGACTTTGCACACTGTGCCACACCTCCAGCCCATACACTGCCATATTTTAAGACATTTACTTTTTATTTACAGACTGAGCATGCTGTATGAAACCTTTCAGTTGATAAGAGTCTCACAAGTCCTTGACCCATTTTGGTTTACTCTAAATGAATTTGTCTAACCAAACACACATGCATCCTGGGAAATGGGGTTTCTGCAGGCCTGACAATTTTTCCCCAGCTGTATTTCTCATTCCACACCCTGCAGCTTGACTAACTCCCCCCACTCTCTGCCTTCCCCAGACCATGTCCTAAACCTATAGGGTCCCCTGTCCTTACTGTAGTGAAGCTTGTGGCAGACCAAGTCCAAACGCAGCCTTCTGCAGTCTTGGACTAACCTCTCTCTCCTGTGGCGCTGCCTCCTGCCCTCATTGCATCTGTCTTCCCATCTGCCCATGTGGAAGGTGGAAGTGCATGTGGTTTTCCCCCAAAAGCTTCCAAAATCATACTGAGTGCAGCACCCACAGACAGAAAAAGCCCAGTGAAACGGTGATGGTCTTGGAGGACATGCCTAAAAATAAATGGAAGTCAGAGCCCTGTGGTTGTCTTGTAAGAATTTAGATTGTCATCCTGAATTCTAGCTAACACATTTATTAAGTGAAAGAAAACAATCCCATGCAGCAATGCATTTTGTTATCAGGAATCAGTCCCTTTGTTTCTAGAACAGGGGTCACAGCCTTTACTGTGAAGAGGCAAAAGGCAGATATCTTGAGTTTGGGCAGCCATAAAGTCTCTGCTGCAGCTATTTACCTAAGCCTGGTCTTGAGTGCAGCCATGGACACAGTGGAAACTAGTGCCCGAGGCTGGGATCAATGAAATTTTATTTACAGCAGGAGGCAATTGGCAGGATTTGACTTGTGGGCTGGAGTTCACCAGTTGCCATTCCAGCAGACAAGCCTTAGTCAAGTTCAAATCCTTCTTAACCTCTCTTTCTTCTCAACACGTAAATGTGGGAATAACCTTCATACATTAATCTCTTCATGCTAAGTGTCAGGGCCTAGCACTTAATGAACACGGGCATGGTAGCCATGGGTACTGTCCTGTGAATAGGGAGAAATGTGGGAAAAGTCAGAGAATATGCAGCCTCTCTTCCAGCTGGGAGCAGCACCCAGAATTAGTTGTAGCACCTGACAAGTAAAAAAGGGAAAAAAGCACCACTCAGTGAATTTATTTGACTTATTTTGAATTTGTTTTTAAAATCCTCATTTAAGAGCTATAAGGTAAATGAGCCTTTCAATTTTAGTTTTATAAAATAGAACCAAGATCTTCATTGACATATACTATTAAAGAGATACTTCGGGATGGTTTGAAAAGCAACTCTCAGATTGAGTAAAGATCACCCAAGGGTTTTCCAAAACTGTGTCAGAAGAACTGAAACTGCTGTCCTTTGCTCCATGTGTTCTTTGTAAACAACTGCACTGCCACTTAGCACTTGTGTAGATGCTTCCCAACATTCCCTGTGTCCCCCAGGGCCTCACTGCTTCTGAGTGAGTCCTCTCTGTAGATGCATGCTTTCCCAACAGAATGATAACAGATCCTGATTGGATCTGTATCTGTGTGCATACCCCTATAGGTGTAACAAAAGACACACATAATAAAATCTTATCTGTTGAAGTATGAAAATAGTCCACACAGTTTTATGCATTCCTATGATATTTAGTTTTTAAAGTGGGTTTTTTTTTTTGGTAGGTTGTTCTGATTAGACAGAACTAGCTAGTGAGGCAAGTACTATCCTTTTTGCAGATTGTAGGTTACAACTCTGAGCATTTCATTTTCCCACCCTGGGTCACAGACCTGAAGCCTGTTCCTATAGCAGGAGCACTGAATCTTCATCAATGTGAGGTTTGGAGATAGAGATGGAATTTTACCCAAAATGTTTCTTAGTTTCTTGCCTTTTTAATTGAATGTCTTAATGATGATGAGATAGATGATGCTTCTGCCAAGGCATGCACACTTATGTAACACAGCCAGTCACCACAGATCTTGTCCAAGTCGTGTCACTTTGTTGATGGGGGAACCACAGGAATAGGTCCTTCCTTGTCCATGTCTGGGACTTCTCTGTGAGCATAAGATGAGAATTGATTTCCAAATGCAAAGGAGAAAACACATGTGCAAAATAAGGTATCAGAATTTCATTAAAACCCTAAATATATATATATATATATATATATATATATATATATTCACACAGATGACTTAATCAATTATCTCAAGTTCTGTCTAGCTAAAATTAATTACCAGGTAATTAATGCTCCTGGAAAAGTTTCAATTTAGAAAGTTCCCTATTCATTATGAAGTATGAACCTCAAGTTTTAATAAGGTTCCATGAGGAAAGTTATAAAATTAGGTCTTACTGAATACTGCAACATTTTAAAAGTTAATTAATTCTCTGACATTCAGGCAGTGTAACTAAATTACTTCATAGAGTTGTTTGAGTACAATGTCTATAATCTTCTGATTAAAATAATAAGCATTAAAATCATCAGTAGCAATTATTATTTACCCATCTACTGAAGCACTACCCTCTCCCAGATCGCATCTCGGGAGCTGCAGAGATCATCTCCAGAGGATTCCAGAAAGGTTCTGCTACCATGGAATGGGAAACAGCACTCTGAAGTTTCAGTTTTCCAAGTCAGAGTTTCTGAGCAAAAGTATATTTTTTAAAGTCTTGAGAGGAAGGAAACTTAGAGCGAGGCTCTGCACTGCGGAGTAGCTGCTAATCCCTTGTTTACCCTGTGCTTTTATTTAAATTTGTGCTATCATGATTTATTTCTACCTTACAGGATAATGAATCTAGATTTTATTTCTCTTCTTTGCCCAGACTTGTACAGCAGGCAAAGTGTTTGAAAATCAAAGGAAAAGAAGATATTGACTTGGATAAGCTCTTCAGAGGTAAAAACACAAACACTAGCAAAACTGCAGAATCTACTTTTTGTTGGTCAGAATGTCTTCTGTGCTTGTTTGGTTTATACTTCCAGTAGGAAATAGTGGAAAGAATACAATTAGAAGTCAAGACACCTTGCTGGTTCCAAGAACCCTGTAAATCATTCATTCTGTGGCTTCAGTCCTCTCCACCTTAATTGTCTAATTTTTAAAGTTAAGGAGGACACATTGAAGCCCATTGAAGCCAGAGTCTTGTTGGTTGACTGTCCCTTTGCCATTTGCAGAGGCCGTGGAGAGAAGCCACGAGTGCTAAGAGGCTGGAAAATGCCTCTCATTAGTGGGAACAGTTTAACCGTCAGAGATGTGATTTTGTTGGACCACAGGGAAAACTGCATGTTTCTCTTGAGTTAGGTTTGTTTCCTCTAAAGATTAAATATGTCCTGAGTGTTGGGGTTGGGTTATATGTAGTAGTTAAAGAGGCAGTTATCCCATGGTTGTGTTATTATCGTCTGACCTTTTTCGTTTGGTCAGGTGAAAACAGAGGTAATTCGTGATTGTGTTTTGCATCTCCTGCTACAGTATCTTCCAGAATATTGTGGGAGATCTGTTAGCATTCTTGAGAAAAGGAAAACTCATGATTTTGCTGCTAATTTGGGCAGAGGTGTAGCACAGTACTCCATTTCATCTCCAATTCAGTTATCCACTTGACTTGAACAACAGAAGGATGCTGTTGGGAGTCATGAACAGGAGAGCTGTGAGGCCTTGGAGCAATCCGGGGCGGCTCAGCTGGGTTCATGGGATGAAGCTCAGCTGGTGGTAGGAAGAGCTCTTGGTTCCACCTCCGCCCCTGGGGTGAGCAGCTTCTCCTCAGAATGTGAGAACAGCCTCATTATGCACCTGCGTGTTTCTCTTTCACCAGAACCACTCTCAACTATCACTGGAGCCGAATCTTCCTTCCAATAAGATAAATAACTGATATTTTAGAAATCGCTGCATATAAATGTTCTCATCTGCCACATTAAGCTGAAATTCTGTAAACAGCATGTTTTGGAGCCATGTAAGAAGCCTTACAAAACTGTCAGTGTTTTAATTCCTATTTTGACACTTTGGAAAATATCTTCACAGAGTAATTATGTATATGTTCCTGTTATAAAAAGATACACAATTTTGCTGTTCTCATAGTAAGAGTAGTAATGAGGCACATCCAGACAGAAATAGAAAATACCAGTAAGATGCATTGGCAGGGTGTGAACGGTGGAATCTCTCCCAGCCTGCTCAGATGCACTGGCTCCTCCCAGCATCTCTTAGCAGTGTTTCCTCCCACATGCATGTACTGCAGCCTTTACAATGCTCTGCCATTGGAACACTTCAATTTCTACATCTGTGGCAGTACAGATGCAGGAACTGGGACAGCTGTCTGGTGCAGAATGCCACCAGGGACCCACACAAATTTCAGAGGCCACATTCAACACTTGCTTTCCAGACTAGCCTTTTGTCACCCAGAGTCATTCTTCCTCATATGCTCTAATTCCCATTATCATTAAGCTCGTTTTCTCTGTTATTGCTGTGACATTTCATGGTGACAGCATTTCCCTTTTATTTTTCTTAGACACCTAAATCTTAGCATGATTTCCAAGTCCTAATTTTTAAAAAATTTTTCTATGTTGGTCTGGGCATTGATTTAAGTAAATAATGCCATCATTAATTAGAAGTCTTTCTCTGTTTTAAAGGGAGTATGGGTTAAAATGAGTTCTTTGTTTCTCCTGTGAGGGAATAACTTACACCTTGGGTTTTGAAAGTTGTGTTCATATGTGTCCCTGGGCATGTGTAACTTCTTTTTTTCATGCCTTAAGCATAGCTTTCAGCTCTAATATGTAATCATCTTCACTTCCTAAAGCATTTTATTCACCGGATTTATGCTTGGCATTTGTAAGTCCTCTAAAGCTACTCATTACTTTCAAGTGTAATTCTTCAGGTTTCAACCTTTCATTCTCAGAGGAATGTATAAAATCAAGACTGAGTGACAGAAGTTTTAAATTACTTCATATGTATATAATTCTATCAAGGAAAGTGGTTATTTAATATTTGGTGTGAAATTGACAGAAAAGATTTGGAGTTTGTCTTACAAATCTCGGGGTTTGCAGGTAAGCTCGTTGAGTGTTGTAAGTAGGACATGACCAGTGCTGTTTGCCCTTTGCGCTTTCTGGTAAGTAAAGTGATTCATGGACACAGTCGCATTGCCACACAGCTGCTCCAGAACAAAATCACACCTATGCGTTGTGCCTTAGGTTTCTCCCTCTGCTCAGTCAATGTTTCACAGAGATTGAAACAGAATCTGTTCTTTGAACACAAGTTGAGGAAGGCTAGTTAAAGTGAATTTGCATTGATGATGAAAGATCAGTAATCCAAGGGTTGGCAGCCCTGGATTCAGAGCAGCTACAACTTGTCTTCTTGATCCACCCACCACTGCCATTGTCAGGGCTAGTGCATCGCTCCACACCAGACCAGGCCTTTGAGACTGGGGAATTAGCTGTGGACATTTTTTAAGTCTTTATTATTTTGTGTATCAAACACCTATCTAATACTTATTTTTTAAACATCCCCAAATTTCATTAAAAGTAAAAAGTTAAAATCAGTAAACACTCTTCAACTTTTATAGATTTATTTTGAATATAATAATTTATATTCTGTAATCTTACTCAATAGAGAATTGTATTCTCATTGGTGATTACATTTGGTGATTATTTTTTATCTAATATTTATTGATGTGTGATATTAAGTATGTTTGCCAGTTTCACTTTTTATTGATTAATTAATTTATTTATTTGAAAGTTGAGGTGACACAGAGAGGTATGCTGTCTATTTACTTCCCAAATGCACCCAACAACCAGGGTAATGCAAACACCAGACAAGGTTGAGCCTGACTGAAATAAGTTCAGAAATCAATGTAAGGCTTCCACGTGGGTGGCTGGAACCCCATTAGTTGAGCCATCACTTGCTGTGTCCCAAGTTACACATTAGCAGGAAGTTGGAATTAAAAGTCTAGAACCCAGGCACTGAGCTATGGGTGCAAGCACCCCAGAGTTTAAACTGGGATTTAAATGCCCATTCTTCTTTCTTTTCTGAGTAAACCTGTTAGCCAAATGTAGAAGAGACTACTCACTTAGTCACTACCCAGCCATGGAACAAAACCTGATCCACGCCTGCCTCATGACTTGTGCTAAGTTACATTTAACCTATTTGGAACACTTTATCACTGCAATATCTGCTTAATGATTTTTTTAATGTAACTTCATGATTTTTTATGTAACTGGTTCTACATTTGTGAGATACATTCAACTGGATTGTGAGATACATCCAAATAAGGGTTTGCTCATTCCACTCCTAAGTTGCTAGTACTCAACTTACCGAAGATACCACAATTTACCATTTCAAGGTTGGTTGTTTTCAGTTTTGCGTTCTGGCGAGTGGTGCCACCGTGAACTTCATAGTATGTAATTTGGTAGATATGCCTGTGCGTTTGTGCAGAGCAAACATCTTTGAGTGGAGTTTCTGAATAATTGGGTTTGCATGAGTTCAGTTCATTTGCCAGTGTCATGTTACAGAGTAGATTCCCTGTTGCCTTCCTGCCCACATCATATCAATCTGTAGTTCCTCCACATCTTTGTCAATAGTAATTTTTGTCCTTTTAATTTTAGCCATTCTTTTGGGATTACAATAGTACTTAATTATGCTTTTAATGTTGTGCAGTCCTGAGGTCTAAGGAACATGAGCACATTTTCATTTTGTTGACTATTCAAGTACCTTCCTTTGTGAAATATTTTGCCCGCTTGCCTTTTCAATTGGGTTTTTCTTACTCGGAAGAACTTCTTCATATTGGGTGTGAGCTCATTGTTGGAGAGATACGATGTATTTTTTCACCCTTTTAGTAGTGTCTTGTGATTCACACAGATTCAGAATTTTAGTATAGTCCATCAATTATTTCTGTTTTGGTCAGTGCTTTTAGTGTCCTGTTTAGAATTATTGCCTATTCCATCTCCATAAAGATGTTCTTCTATTTTTATTCTAGGAGTATTAAAAATTCCTCATGATCTAAATTTAGAATTCATGTAGAACTGATTTTTAATATATGGATAGTGCAGGAGTCAATATCACCATTTTTGCTGCTGTTTTTAAAATGAATATTTATTGTTTGTTTGTTTGAAACTCAGAGAGAGAGAGAGAGTCTCCATCCACTGATTCACTCTCGAAATGGCTGCAGTGCAGAGGTGGGCCAGGCCAAATCCATGATCCAAGAACTTCATCCATTCTCCTGTGTGGGTGTTAGGGGCCCAGACACTTGGACCACTTGCTCTTAATTTCCCCAGGCCATTAATAGAGAGCTGAATCAGATGTGCAGCATATAGGAAAAAAAAAATTGGTACCTGTGTCGGATGCTGGTATGGCACAGGGTTGCTTTATCTGCTGCGCCACAATGTTGGCCCCAAGATTCACTTTTTCTACAACTATTTAGTTGATTCAGCACCATTTATTAAAAAGTCCTTATTTTTTCTTCTTATGTGGAAGTATCAATTTTTTTTAATCAAATAGCGATATATGTGGATCTGTTTCTGTACTCTGTTGTGTCCCATTGGGTTATTCCTGTTTCAGTGTCATGCTGTCTTAGATAACATAATTTTATATAGTAAATCTTACTAGCTAAGATTGTCACTCTTCAAATTTTGTTCTTATTTGGTAGTGCCTTGACTATTTTTATCCATTAACATTTCTTGTTTTTAAAATTTATTTATTTATTTATTTAGTTAGTTAATTAGCTAGTTAGTTAGTTAGTTGAATTAGATACAGAGATCCTTTATCTGCTGCTTGTCTTCCCCAAAGATAGATATAGGAGTTTCCTGTAGATCATCCATGTGGGTGCAGGGTTCCAAGTACTTGGACTATGTTCCACTGTTTTCCCAAGCACATTAGCAGGTAGCTAGATCGTAAGTGGATTAACACAGACTCAGATC